GTTAAAGATTATAAATAGCCGCGTTTCGAATTTCTCCGAGCAGAAGAGTTAAACCATCGCGTAAACCATTTCAACCATTCTCCAGAGAAATTTTCACACGCGCGAAACGAAACCGGGATATTATTCATCCACGTTATAGCCACGATGAAACTTGCGGGAGGTGTTCGAGAAACCGCCAGTCACTCGGAGTAGTTTCGTTGATAATAATTCGCAAAATCCAATTAGACATCTGGCCGGAAGTATCTCGTATGAACTTGTCGTCGAACCATCCGTTCGTTCAAGATATCTCAACTTTCTGATGGGAAATCCCGTTGAATTTCAGCGAGTTCGAGTACACCTTCGACTAAAGCAGACAGTTTCCATTCGCTGGCTCCCCCGCTGGTTGTCTGGGAAATCCCGGGAAAGTTCCCGGTGTAACTGTTTAGATATCCGCCCGTTATGTCAGCGGCCACGGAACACGGTATTGTTAAAATTCACAGAAACCGAAAGTTCCACAAGCATACGTCACGATGGAATTCCATTCATCCGAATTTCACATGCGCCAGTTTTATCAGAAAGTGAGCTTCTGTCGTTCAATCGTTATCAATAAGTTATCCAAACGTTTCAAACACTTTTATTATCCCGTGATATTATCGACCGGAACGTTCGAGACTTCAAACGCGAAATTTTTCGAACTTTACGGATTTTTGATTTACAAATCTTTCGCGAATTCTATCAAATTTCCAACTTTATTCTATTAAATTCATTTTCTAAATTTATTCTATTAAATTTATTGAAATTCTATTGAAAAAGTTTTCATTACGAACGTTTGTCTGACGTGATTGATTTTCGATATTAACACACAAAGTACGGCAGAAATAGAAAAAGCACTCTTCGAGATCAACATGTTTATTATTTACTGATCTCTTCGTAAATTATCTTGGCAATTTATTTTGAAACACGAAGACTGTATTCATTTAAAACACGAATCAAGTTACGTTTACAGTTTTATATCAGTTGATGCGTCTCATCAATAGAATACATTGTTGGACGATTTGATGGACGAGCGAAAAATCATAGATAGCGGAGAGAAATTCGTATCGCGCCAACTGTTTGCCCCGCGATGAATCCGGATAAATGGAGTCATGCCGCAGTTCCGTCGAGCGGGTGGAATCACCACGAGAACGCACACGTTTGTACACGCGCACGCGAAACACGTTGAACCGTGCCAAATGATATTATCAAGAACCATCTCTCGGGCCCGTTCATTCGATCAATTTTAATCGTAGTTGGTCGAAATGGTAAACGGCGCAGTGGAACGTTTTCGAACGAGAAAACCGCGAGCCTCGATTCGTTGAGGAAGCCGGAAGTCGATATCCGCACAGTGTTGACACGCGCGCGTTGCCGTATTTCGTGCCACGTTCTTCCTCTTTGTCGTTCGTCGAGAAATTTCGGGAACTTTCGAGCGACGAACGTTCGTATGTTTATATATATATATATATATATTTTCAGGAGCTTCTTGCACGATTGAAGCAAAGATGTTTACGAAAAAAAAATTTTGTAAGTTTGAAACACTGACAAAACAGATGAAATTTTACACGCGAGTTTCGAAAGGGTTGTTAATATTTGTCCAATTCGATGAAAAATTGACTTGAATAATGGAAGTTTGTCATCTACGATTTGTCACTTGTCAATTCGCTGATATTATATTAATTTAATTGTTGAATAATTGTTCAACGTGGCAATGTTGCGTGAATGTTCGATTCCTGTTGTACAATTGGACTAATTATAGTTTACAACGTATGAAGTGTCCATTTTTGTTGTATATCCAGTTGCATAAATCTTTGTTCAATGCACATTTTAGATACACCTTTCTGTCAGTATTTATCCAATATAACACGAGTTGTTAAAACATGGAACATTTCATACGTTACGTGCAATGTTAATGTATGTATTGTACGTCGAAAAATGATAGAATATCGAATATATTATTTTTCGTTCTCTGGCATGTAACAAAAATTTCTGTTCGTATGTATGCGTGTGTGTGTGTGTGTGTGTGTGTGTATGAAGTTCGATCGAAAGTTGAGTTCTCGACCAAGAATAAAAAGTGTTATTCGTCAAGATGGTCAATTTAGGACGAGGACATTCGACCATTAAGAAGCTCTAGCTAGCCAAACACAACCGACATCGTGAACGTGTTCAACAAGAACATTGTCGTAAAAGGAGAGGAAGTAAGAAAGAATAATTTAAAAAAAGAAAAAAAACAAAAGTAATCTTTTCCACGTGTTTTTACATTCAGAGTGTCGCCCTGTGAGAACTGTTGCTCGGTGAATTGAATAGTTTGTAATACATAATGTATACAATACGTTAACACGTTAAAATATCAATTGTACCGGACTACGGTTCCAAAACGTTATATAGTAATTATTAAACAATAAATTGTATACAATACGAGTAATCGTTAGACTATGTGTATAGATATAAATATAAATGCAAATATATATATATATATATATATATATATATATATATATATATATATACATAAACGAGACACTTTAATATTAATCCGTACGAAATAAAGAAATTAAAAAAGAAAAAAAAACAATTGTTCTTTCGACTTCGTAACGATAGCGATCCGTCGTTTGTATAATATATTTTCGAGGGCTCGTTTCAAATGAGGATAGATGATTCTTCGAGGACTTTCAAACCGGGACAGACGCGTGTGTACGTATAAATAAAAACTGACTCTCGGCGAGAATAGAATTTAAAAAGAAAAATTTAAAGAAAAAAAAGTGAAAAAATAAAAATGAAAGGGATGACGTTGCGTATAACGTAAGGTAACCACGCCGCGGTGTGGTAAAGTACCGACATTTGCGTGCCTGGCTCGTTTAATATTCATTATACCGCGTTCTTGCGTGCAATGGAAGAGATAAAACCGATACTTAGGGCAGATAGTATATTTTTTTGTAAAACGGTTAGTTACTGACCTGACGGCGTCCCGAAGTCCGTTGAGTCAGTCAGTTGTGTACATAATTAACAAGGGAGGATCAAACGATATTGTGAAATTGTAAAGTTGTTAATGGGTTATGAATGAAGGTGCGTTATCCGCGGCTTTACGTTCAACGAATTCCACGAATATTTCGATAATTCGAACGAAAATCGAACGAAAGTTTAATGAATCTCGTATCGTTGCAAAGAAAAATCTTCGTTCGAGATATCAAGGAACTTGTTATAAATAAACGAAACGATACGAAACGTGAAATTAGAAATTTGAAAGAGAAACAGGAGTATACATATATATTTTTTTCGGTGTGAAAATTCAATTGAAAATTCTGTAGAGATCTCTTTACGAGGATAAAGACAACTTGCAATTTTTTACAAATTCTTCGATTTGTTACTCGCTAGTTCCAATTAGTCATAACAAATTCTAGCTTCTCGCGTTTCTTTCTTCAATCGGCGTTTGAAATTGTTTGAAATTTGCATGGTTTATTTGGTGATAATCGCCTGTGAAAGATTCACCCGATTGCAGGACGAAATTTTGGTACTCTACCATATACGCGAGTGTCACATATTTTTACAAAATGGAAGAAAATTTCCGTATGCACCACTCAGTCATAGTTTTCCCCGACGTTTTTTAATGTTACCATTAATGTTAATGCATTTAAGATTGTCACGAAGTTTATGAAGAGAACTGTGTGTCGGAGATGTTATAATTTTTTAATAAATATTATAAACTTATGTAAACTCAGAGAGAGAGCCTCAGATTTGCATTGTCTTTATTGTTAAAATGTAATATCTAATAAACTTCTGTTATATTCATTATACAACATTTCTTTCGTGAATATTTCACTCAGCAATCACATACACTGACACAGGGAAATTAAATATTAAAATACCTGAACGGCGTACAATTGGCATTTCGTTACTGTTTGCCACACTATTTCCTGAAGGAGCGTCGACAAGATTTATGATTACATAATTAGCGGCGAGACAGAAAATAGGCAGCTAAATCAGATATCAACGATAGCTACGAACAAATTAGATAACGTATCAGAAGCATCTAATCTATATCTAATTGCGTAATCCCTGTCGAGAATTTGTATACAGCTGAATGAATACATGATCAATCTCCAAACTTTTGACTTCGAAGCGAGAATAAAATGACTGTTTTAAATAAATTTCGTACCTTGAAAATGAAATTTTTACACCTGTCTAGATGTTCAATGCACAGTTTTGAAAATAAAGCGAGTCGACCTAGAAACAGAAAATAGAAAAATTGTTTCGTAATACACCGTGTCTGTAGTTGAACTGTAACATCGGAGTCTTTTATTAAATTTAATTGACACGCAAAAATAATAAAATAATAAGTAAATGAACGATGATTGTCCCCTTTCATTAAACCTCATTATAACTTTTAGATTGAAAAAGAAAAAAAAAGATACGGCTAAAAAAAACGTTCGAAAAAGAGGCACCGGATCGATTCGCGAAGACGAATCTTACTCCCAGTTGGCGTCGCAGTACGAAGACTATGCTCGTAAATTGCTAAACACCGGCTAAACCCCAAAGCCTATAGAACGGCGCCAGAGGTTTTCTCCTCGCAGAGAAACCGTCTCGCCGGTTCAAGGCGAAGAACTCCGAGATTAATATGCATTTTACCTTAATTGTTTGCATCCGAGATCATGCACGTAGCGATAGATAAATGTCGTAAAACCGTCGTAATTCTTTGTCATGCGGCTCGTGAAACGCGTTTCTGCTTTCATCCTGCCAAGATTTGCGAAAACTCTGCCCGTTTGTCATCAAAAATTCGAAAAAAGAAAGAAACGGAAGAAGAAATTACACGAAAGAGGCGAAAGAGAAAGAGATTGAAAACAATCGATATTTCGATCGAAGAAAATACAAAAGAACTAACGAACGGGTGATAAAATCGTGATACAAAAAAAGAAAAAAAAAAAAGAATCGCGATAACAGCAAACACGGAAGATATAAATACCGATCGCAAATATAGTTGTTTAATCGTGAATCGAGATAAGACGAAAAACAATGTCATCGTGTAGTTCGTCTGCGATCGAGATGGAGATCACGCAGTACACACGTCTTCGCTTGAGTAGCAATTTGTTCAGTTTAGAAAATTGTCGTTTGTCGAGTGGCGGACAGCTGAGAATCGTGGAAGCTGCTTGCCTCGTCGAAAGGGGTAAAATAATTAGCCGAATATCGTCAAAATATATATATATATTGTAGACGAGATGTGCAACGTTCCTCGCTAATGGCAACGAGAAAGTCGAACGTCCACGAGTTTTGCAACTGACCGAGATAGAAAGTGTCCCTCGTGAAGCGAATTTGCCCAAGAGATATAGAGAAAAATTTTGACAAAGGGTTGCTTCTACTGCGAAGCGTTCAAAATTTTGTTGAACACATTTCGTCCCAGATCGGCAAGATTCAAAAAATAATTGACATAACGTCGGAGGGATACTTTAGTTGACAGAGGATGACAGAGGAGAAGGATCTAAACGAAGTATTGTGCGTGAAGAATTTGGTGAAGGTGGTAAATGGTAATGAAAAGAGCAACAGCAACCCCTTGGAGACGAAAGTGTACAAGAAGCGATGGCTAATATTGGCTCTGTACATTCTGTACACGGGAATGAGCAATGCCCAATGGATTCAATATTCTATAATCGCCAACGTAGTTAGCAGGTATTTAGACTTCTGTCATTCAAGATTAAATTGTGAGGATTTGTATTGAATGTTACTTTAATATATTTTTCTATCACTGGTAATCTTGATTGTTTAAAAGAGAAAAATATACGTATAATATCCGAGATGTTTAAATGGTAGAGGGAGAAAATAAATTCTTGTAAAAAGTCAAAAATTTTGAAGAAAGATGCACTTTCGTTGAAAATTAATTTTATTTTAAAATAATTAAAAGTCCTAAAAGAATTATATAGAAGTATAATACAACAGTAATTATCGCGTGAATTACATTATTTTCAAAGTTAACTGTTGATTTTCCAAACAACACATACGTGTAAGAGCAATGACAATCAATTCTCCGAACCAACGCTTCAAATCTTTATTGCTTATTTAGAAAGTTGAGAAATGCAAACAAACATACGATGGAAAAATTGCTTTGTCTCCCAAATAAGAAAACAAAGATAACCAAAATAAATTCTCTCTTCTGTAAGATAAATTCTTACAATTGCGTTAATCATTGCAAAATGCGTGGAATTTACATTCTGAAATTGTTGTCAAAGTTCTTCATGATGAACGTAAAATATAAATTAATATAAAAACAAGAAATTGAAGATGTCAGAATCGAATGGATTATAATTAAAGGAATAACATCTGTTAAAAGGAAAAATTAGAGATTTGAGAGTAAACACGTTTCTCAGGTACTATGGGGTTTCTTCAACGACTGTCGACTGGACAGCAATGTCATTCATGGCTTATTACGTGATTTTCATTTTTCCTGCTACGTACATGGTGGACCGAGTCGGATTTAGGTGGACTAATATTATATGCTGTGGCGTCACATGTCTTGGCTCGTGGGTCAAGGTTTTGTCAGTCAGTCCTGACAGGTTTTACGTTACCTTTATTGGACAATCTCTGGTTGCTACCACACAGGTTAGAGATTAATACGTCAGATCTCAATTATTTTTTTTTTTTTTTTTCTCCTTTCATTAAACGTAATTTAATCATCAAGTGGTATCGAGTCATAGAAATTTAAACTGAAAATATATTTAATTTTGGAATATATAATTTCACTTAATATTCCATGATTTTATGTTCCAACACTATTAAATGAAATTTAAAACTAAAAACATTCGAATCTACTGATACCACAGTGGGAAATTAAGATTTTTCAAGTCAATAAAAATCGATAAAAATTAATAAAAGCGATGCAAAATTTTTGATCAACAAAGTTAATGAACGCATCGTTTTCTAAACCGCTCTTGAATTTCAGGGATTCAAAGATAACTGCGTAAGTAGAATAATACGGTTCGCGTCAGACTGATCAAAAGAGTGCATAAAAGAACAAACGTAATCAATCCGAAACAACGGACACAATAAACGACTTCAAACACGATCGATCACACTTACAACAATTATTATTATCACCTGTAATCCGTTTTTAACGTGCAATTTTCGTCGGAAATATTTGAAATCGCGCGAATTACAAACATTACAAGTAATTTTCTAATAATTGAATTTTACGTACCGGCAGCTCAACTTGACAGAGTACTCAAAATCTCACAGAAAGATTTATGCTCATTCACTCCAACTGCATTTCGAATTTAGCAAAAGCTTTGTGACTTTTGATTAAAAGTATGAAATTTTAATTTCAAAGTTTCTAGGAATCTCGTTTTATTCGGGAAAAAAAAAGTTCAAACTGCTCAGCTTGAACAGCTCAAGCTCGGGAATATTATTAAAAACTATTACATTGGTGAAACGAGAATTTTTCAACTGAAATTGAAAACGATTGGAACAAATTTAAGTACATTTGCCGAATGTAATGATCATTTGTTCACATTTGTGTGTATTTTGAAAAAAATATTTCACAACAATTCGCAATCAAGTGTAGCTGCACGCCACACGCGGCGAGATATTCTCGAAGCAAAGGAAACACGAAATATGGAACATTCAAATAAACATTCAAATATTATAGACGATAATTCTAACATTACCTGGACGTCTGGCAGCGCAATGGTTCGCCGGCAACGAACTTTCCACGGCTACGTCATTGAGCATATTCGGCACCCAAATAGGAATAGCCCTAAGTTTCTTGCTCACGCCGATAATCGTGAAAAATCACGAGAATTTGGAGGACATTGGCGCAGGCTTGTCGCACCTTTTCTGGATCGTAGCTATTATCATGACGATTGCGTTCATCCTAGTTGTAATACGTAAGTTCCTCTCGAGACGCAATTCGTCCTCAATCTCCGATGTAAATATTTGTGTGTCAATTATCGTGAATTCGAGCGTAAAACAGCTCGGAGCAGATTAATTGAAATTAAACGGGAAAGTCGAACAACGAAATTCATATATTCGATCGTTATATATTTCGCGCAGTGTTCGAGGACGATCCGAAATTACCACCGAGCAAAACACGAGCTCTACAAAAGTTGAACCAGATGGAAGCCGAGGAAAGTATTGTGCAACCTATTAAAAGATTATTCAAAAACAAGAGCTTTTTGTTACTGTGCAACTCGTACGGTTTGGGCATCGGTGTGCTGAACGTCGTAGGAACGTTGCTGAATCAAATATACCTCGCGCACTTTGAGGTGAGCAAAGATGTCCTCGATAATCAGGAGATTTCAATTTTCGTCTAATCGTGATACGATTGGACATTTTGCAGCACGGTGAGCAAGACGCGGGTAGAATTGGTTTGACCATAACCATGACAGGAGTGATAGGTTCCGTCTCTTTTGGAATAATTCTCGATAAAACGCATAAATACAAGTAAGAACAAGTTTTACAGAAAAAAACTTTAACATTAGACAATTTTACAATTTTGGACGTATGTACTTTCAGGGAAACGACTGTAATTGTGTATTTCCTCTCGCTGATTGGCCAGATATCCTTTTCTATGTTCACGTGGCTCGAAATGAAATGGATGGTGTATCTGTCGGCCATTTTCCTCGGGTACTGTATATACACACGCAACACGCCTCGTTAAAATCAACAACAGACATCATTTCGATTAATAAATTCGTACGCGAGTATCCATATAAAATTACGCGTGCCGATCACTTCGGTAATTATTTTATGGGAAAACATAAAGTTCCTCCGATCGTCATATTTTCAGAATAATTCCTAATTTTCACATCGCTGTTTCAACGATGATTTAAAAAATATTTAAATCATCTCGTAGAAAATTTAATTCGCCATGATTTTTCATTGCGCTGGTGAAACGAAAGCCTTGCGAACAAAAAGAAATCGAATGAAACAAACAAAATTCGCGAGCATTCGTCTAGAAAAAAATTGTTTCAAACTTTCGACCGAGCCTTAAATTGTAGTTTGCAATTAGTCATAAATTATAGCAACGCGGTCGTCATTGAAATTTCCTTTCCTTTATCACTCGAAATTGATTCTAGTCCGATTCTAAGGAGCAATTACCTTTCGCAGATTTTTCTTAGTCGGATACGTAGCCCTAGGATACGAAATGTGCGCGGAATACACGTATCCAGAGTCCGAGGAGAAAACGGCGGCAATTTTGAACGTGGCTAATAACGTTTACGGAATTGTCCTCATTCTGATAATGGGCCGATTGCTGGAGGTATACGGGGACATTCCGGTGCACGTGTGCCTCTGTGTGATGATACTGACCGGCTTTATCATGACCGTGTTGACGAAGGACGTCCAAAGGCGTCAGGATGCCAGGAAAAGCGTACATTACGTAGGGGTGAAAGAACAAAGTGAGAAAAGCAACGAGTGCAACGGAGTGGAAAAAAATTAATTCGATCGTAACTACTTTCTCACATTGATACAAATCTGCGTTTAATATTTTCTATGACAGACTATGTCCTAAACTGTAGTTTGTAACACTAGTTCATAGATGCAGGATACAATTTTTCATAAGAATATTTTAATATTTTTTTGTAGAACGATATATATGAATTGTTTGGATCAAGTTTGCGATCCAATTTGATCTTTATTTTTCCCTCTGTCAAGAAGTAAAATTTCTATTCGACTGTCAATATAGCTTGTGGTATTCAATATGATTTTACATATACATTTATTAGATTATTATTATTATTATTATTATTACATAGAGATGTGCGAGAACCCGAAATATCGAAATTTTTTCGGGATCGGGATACCAGAAAATTTCGAGATTCTCGAATTTATCGGAATTCTCGAAAGAGTCGGCGGGATTCCCGAAAGAGTTCGGATTCAAGAAAGGATTGAAAACAAGCTTATAGTAATTCGTTAAAGGCCACGCCTTCGACTATACCGAAAAGTCGCAGAGCTAGAACCATCATTCGAGCAATTCCTTCTGTTATATCTTTTGATTTAACAATCTTTCGCGTATCATTTTGTACATGCGACAAATTTTATATCGATTCAGTTTCTTTTCTAGTACATATACTTATATTTGGATGCATATGCTTCAAATGACATAATAAACCAGTAGTATTTGCATATTTACTTTTAAATTCATGGTGACAATGCGTGCATTCCGCCTTCGTATCATCTTTTTCCCGAAAATGTCCCCAAACAGAGCTTCTCTTTACCTTCCTCCTTTGCACGATATCTTCTGCGCTACTTCCTGCTACCACAACTTCACTCTCACTATCACTCGACATTTTTTTTTTAAAGATTTTCAATCTTCATTAAATTCACACAGATTTTGAAATATACGTCCGAGCTGCCCGAGTTTCTCAGCGATACTGCTCAACAGCGTACGTAATATCCAAGCACTAAGCACGCAGTCACACGATTGTATACATCAGGTCAAACGATTCTTAGAATCCGTGTTTCCAATAACTTCACGAGAACTGACAGAAGAAATTGAAATGTGTATTTACATATTATGTAGGATGTTATACAGCATTGTAGAATAGTTCGAGAAACGATAGCCGGGTTCTCGAAATTTTCGGGAAATCCGATTCCTTCGGGAATCTCGAAATTTTCGGGAACCCGACCCGACCCGACTCGACCTCTTCCCGGCCATCGGATTCCCGATAATTTCGAGTTCTCGCACACTCCTAAAATTACAGTTTTTTTATTGTTGCCTAAGATTAATGGAGGCTATAAAACAATAAAACTGTAAAATTGAGAAATTTTAACTAAATAAAACATAAAAATTGTAAAACAATTGATTACTGTAATAGAAATATGTGTTTTTGGAAGTATTGACAAAAACTACCACCTGTTGTGCATCGCCGACTTTACCTTTATCTGACGGTCGAGCAGCGAAAAAGGTCATTATAAGTTGAACCTTCATCGTGTGTACATCGATTAAACATTCGAAGTGAATTTTTAAATAATATTTC